TTTTTTTTTTTTGGTTTTGGAGACCTTCCCTGGCCCTTGCCCGCCCCAGCCCCCCGGGCGGGCCCTGGTTGGTAGCCCAGATGCGAAGTAAATAATAAATATGTAGAGACATTATGCGCGCACTTAATACTACGTTTTGTGCTATGTTATGTGAACATACGAACACACATAGCAACAAAAAATTCACTGACGTAAATGCTCACACATTCACAGTCAATAAGGACAAAGTCCCAATAAACTATACTATAGATTAGGACAAGCAGGACTTTTGGGGATTGACAAATATATGTATTATCGACCTAAGCGCATACTCGCACTAGGACTTTCCTCGATAGCATCTGACCAAGATCGTGACTTCAACTGCATGCATCTGACTGCAATTATGTCCAGAGGGGGTCAAAAAAGGTCCCAGTGGGAGTGCGGACCCCAAGGATGCACCGAATGCAATCCAAACAATCCAGGTGTGAGAAACAATTCGAGCGACGTTTACGAAAATTCAATATTTTTTTTAAGATGATTTGTGCAAATCCATGGGGCACACCTCATGAAGAAAATCCGTGCCTTCGTTTGCCATGTAAAAGACGCGTTTTATTGGAGCCGATAGTTGTGGACAGCCCTGTACAAAAAGCAAGCCAAATTTTAAAGTTAGTAAAACAACTTCAAACAAGAATAATCAAATCTCTTTTTCAGACTTCTTCTCTGGGGGAAAAAGAGACAGAGTGTTCCTTACAGTGCTTTTTTTTTTTGGGGGGGGGGGGGGGGGAGGGGGGGAGGTGGTTCAATTTGAATCACAATTTACTTTCGAAGAAACAAAAAAATTGGCAAAAGCGTCTCAGCTCTATCACACATGTACCTTTCATGGATCAGGTTTGTGCAAGCCTAATGTAGGATTATGTAGAATTTACTCATGGAAGATCTAGGAGGTGAAAAATGGACCACATGCATTCAATTAAAAAAAAAAAAAAAAAAAAAAAAAACGTTTTTTTAAAAAAAAAAAAAAAAAAAAAAAAAAAAAAAAAAAAAAGAAAAAAAAACAAGAAAGAAAAAAAAAAAAAAAAAAAAAAAAAAAAAAACAGCATGAAGTTGGGCCTTTTCTTTTTTTTTAAAACAGGACCTTATGGGCCTGGCTCCATTCTATTCTGGGGAGCGTCAGTCCGGTTCCTATTCCACCGGCAAGTCAAAAGGGTATTACATCAAAGAGAACTCACTCACGCTTCCTTCCGTCCGGCCGAAGGACCCCTGAACAGCATTGATTGCTCCACAACAGTGGAGGATTGACTATCAAGTTGGGCCTTTTCTGACTTTCTGATTTGGAGAATTTTGGACTCTATATGGATATATATGGAGATCCAAAGAACAAAAAGGAATGGAATCCCAAGTCTGCAACCGTAAACCCAAAAGAGTGTGCGGACAAGTGTAATAGCTCTGGCGAATGACCAGAGGGACTAGCTCAGCTGGTACACCCACGAACTGTTGACATATGAATCAGACCCAAGTTCGAATCCAGATGCAATCAGATGAACAGACAAAATAATTCTGAATTGCCTCGGGCCGGTCGGTTCAATGCTGATATCTCAAGGCTGTCACCCTTTTTTTCCCCCCTTTTTTTTTCGAAGTAGCTCTGCTGTATGGATCGGAATGATGGGTACTCGCACGGAGCCTTGGGATCGGTATAGAACCAACACATAACACCCCCCCCCTCCCCCCCCGGGGCTCCCTTGGCGGCCCTTGACCGTATTACCCCCCCTGGTTAGGGAAGAGTTAGGCCAGAGTTAGGCCAGGGTATACAGTCAAGGGCCTCCAAGGGGTCTACCGAGTCGGAGAACTCTGGCCTAACTCTTCCCTAACCACCACCTCCTCGCTCCCGTGCTGGTCACAGGTGTACAGTGAAGGGGATCGAAGCCGATGTAGTGAGTCGGAGCCGCGATAGGAGAATGACTAATGAAAAAGTTGCACGGTAGGTACACACTTGTCTGAGCAATGTATCGATGGAGTGGCTGACCGTGCGGACTAGAGTAGCGAAGACCCTTGCACTCCACACAACAGTCAGACGAGTATGGAGCGCAACAGACTTCAGTACACTCTTGCGGAGTGCGGCAGCGCCGCAGTGGCAACCAAGCAAGCACACCCTCTGACAACAGGCCTGCTCTTTACCCCTTCTCTTTTTCTTCAAGACCCACACACACCAGTGTCCCGTGACAGAGCCCTGCCGTCAATCCGACATACCCAACTCTATCTCTCCCCCCTTCACCCCACCCCCCCCCGCCCCCCGCTCGCTGGAATCTGACTGTCCCCAAATAGTGGCCAGAATAGCTACGCTGTGATGCAGCCACATGCTGCAACGACACAGTTCGGTAGAAGAGCGCCCAGGAAGAAGATAGATAGGTAAAGAGAGGTCAGTCCCAGAGAACACACAGCTATCGCCGCCAAGCTGCTGGCTTCCCCCGAATACAACACACCCTGATAATGAACGTACAAAGGCCATCTTTCCAGTCCGGTATACGGTATAGCCTTAATAAGGGTGCATTGTATTTCGGGGGAAGACGGCAGCCAGGGCAACAGGATACGAATGCCTTGCCGTCCTGTTTCCCACACACAGCAGATGCTTCTCGTCTGCCTTGAAGTCCATCCCATCCCCTTCTCTCCCTCGACTGCAGTCATTCAAAAGTTTGCCACACCGGAAGAACCCCACCAGACCACGGAGGATCTACCCGCCCTCCGAAACTGTGATCCGTGATTGGGAACCCCCTTTTGCCCACCTGATACCCCTCAAAGAGGCCTCTGAACCCTTACCCCTCTCAGTTGGTACACCCCTGAAGTGGGGAAATAAAGACCCTTGTTCGAATCCCCATGGAACTGACTGACCATACGTACGTTCTTAGTTGGGAGACAACAGTGGTCAATGGTTCTTCAGCCTCAATCTTCCACACTCAGACTTGAAAGTTCGACAACGTTCAGACTCAGTGAGAATTTTGAGTTAAAAGTTTAAGCACATTCACTTCAATGCTGACAGAAGATACAAAGGAAGGAAAACGTTTTCACCTTTTCATCGATACTGGGGTGAGAGGCTTAATTAGCACGTAGTACACAGTACATACTACATACCGAATTGTGCAGGCGATGAGCAGAGTGCTCGCCATATGTGCGATTAAGGGCATTGCAGATAGCCATCACAAACTCGGATGCAGCCATCCCACTTGTTTCTCGATCATGCGATCCATTCAGGCATAAAACCTTGGGGCAATTCCTTTGGGCTATGACTTCTCCAACGCCTCTCAGAATCTGTCGTAAAAGCGCATGGGTCCACAAAGAAAAGAATGGCAATGTGGGGGCTTAGCTCAGTTGGTGCACCCACAAATTGTTGAAATATGAATCAGACCCAAGTTCGACTCCAGATGCAATCAGATAAACAGAAGAATATAATTCTGAATACCTGGGGCCGGTCAGCTCAATGATGATATCTCAAGGTCGTCACCCTTGCGGGCCTCGCTTGAGCGCCTGACACGAGATGCTGCCGCCTGTGTTGGGAAACCGCAGTACGAATTGCGCGGGCCCAGGGCGGGCCCAAATGAAGAAAAGAATAAAAATTTATCGGCTGGGCGCTGTTTTCTTTTTTTTTTCCGGGTCCGACTCTTCCCCGAGAACATGGAAAGATACATCGCGCCGTCCCACATGGAAGGATACATCTTCCTGACCCACGGCCGTTCGATTGGCTTGGGACAAACGCCGCCGCCGTTGTTTTTTCCTCTGCAGATCGTCGTGATGGTGAGAAAGTGCCGCGGGGCATTCAAGGATTGTGGGATGACTGGGGGCGTCGAGGGCAGACACGACAGGCAGCAAGGAGTGCGGAGGATGGGGGCCTGCCACACGAGGAGGAGCAAGGAGTGGGAGGGAGGAGGACGACGACGACCATGGGGGGGGACAAGGAGAAGCAAGGAGTGGGAGGGAGAAGGCCGACGACCACCACGGGGAGGACGAGGAGAAGCAAGGAGTGGGACGGAAGAGGCCGACGGGAGAAGGCCAACGACGACTACGGGGGTACGAGGAGGGAGGAAGAGGGAGGAGGACAACGACCATGGGTGGAGCAGGAGGAGGTTCTTTTAAGGTAAGAAGGCCGACGACGACTATGGGGGGAGGAGGATGGAGGATGGGGTCCGAGGAGGGAGGATGGGACCGAGGGAGGAGGAGGAGGACAATGACCATGGGTGGAGGAGGATGGAGGATAAAGGTCGAGGAGGGAGGAGAAGGGAGGAAGCAGGAGGAGGGAGGAAGAGGGAGGAGGAGGATGACAACGACCATGGGTGGAGCAGGAGGAGGTCCTTTTAAGGTAAGGAGGTCGACGACAACTATGGGGGGAGGAGGATGGAGGATTAAGGTCGAGGAGGGAGGAGAAGGGAGAAAGAGGGAGGAGGACGGCCAAGGTAAGACCTCTCTCTCTCTCTCTCTCTCTCTCTCTCTCTCTCTCTCTCTCTCTCTCTCTGTGTGTTTTGGGGCGTGTCTGTCTTAGTGTATTTCAAACGGAAGTGCTCGCTGCTTCTTTTTTTTTTTTTTTTCTGGTCCCGAATGCATGACCTTTGTAATCAACCAATCCTCCACAAATCCTCCAGATCAATCAACGTACCAATTAATCAATCGATCCCCCATGCATTACCTTCGTTTTTCCCCTACATAAATGACCGCTACCTCCAGCCAGTGCTGGAGGAGCAGGAGGAGGAGCAGGAGGAGGAGGAAGTATCAGAGCAGGAGGGAGAGAGAAGGGGGGGGGAAAGGAGGGAGGGGAGGAGGAGATACCAGATCAGGAGAGGGCCAATGCAGAGAGCTATGTTGATGAACAGGTGGTGACGAGGAAGACGTCAAGGAGGAAGAGGTCAAGAGGGGGATGTTGAGGACGCGGCGGCGAAGAGATGGCGAGGAGGAGGATGTAATGATTACGAGGAGGGAAAACAGGAAGAGGACAAGGGATTCGGAGGGAAGACGCAGAGGAGGATAGAAGGAACTATACATGGACGAGAAGAAGCAGGAGGGGTTGAAAGAATGCTATGATACTATGCCCAAGTCGACAACATGTGGTTTAAACTACCTACCACATCGGTCACCGGGATTGGATATGACCAACTACATGCATTTTTGTACGGCCAATATGGAAGACTCTTTTGAGGAAGCTTAGCATGATTACGTAGAATATAGATTAATAAATAGATAGATAATATAGATTATATATATATAGAGAGAGAGAGAGCGAGAGAGAGAGAGAGAACAGTTTGTCACAGCCCCTCGTTTCTTGTCCTCTTCTCCCTCTCTGCCTACGGTTTACCGGGCAGCTCTGTTTGACTATATATATATCGTCACAAACACAGAGAGAGAGAGAGAGAGAGAGAGAGAGAGAGAGAGAGATCCACAGTCCCTTTTGTTTGTTGCCAATTGATGGATCGATCACTGAATCGATGATTGCCACATCCGCAACCCTCGCTCTTATGCCTCATTTGGCCACGTGGAAAGGGTATCGGGTTAAGCATCTTCACATGGAGAGATGTGTGCGACCCATTGCCTGGGCACACTGGCACATTGGTGTCAGCGCATGGCTCCAATCTAGAAGTCACTTCTCTTATTGTCACACACACAGAGAGAGAGAGAGAGAGAGAGAGAGAGAGAGAGAGAGAGTCAAACAATCAGTCAATCAGTCTCACTGATGGCCACGTCAGCATGCAGCATGCTGATGTGGCAGTGAGCGAGCCTGGATAGATTCCTTGTTGATAGAGTTTCCTCCCTCCTGGATCAGTCAATCAATCAATCAATCCCGGTCACAGCCACGTTCAGCAATGCAAAAATCCAACCAACGACGACAGAAGCACTGACACTAACCCCTCCTACTTGATTCAACTGCAGTCGCAGAGCAGAGTATCAATACACGGACGGTCTGACCAACATGTTTTTTCCAGGATTTTTTTTTTTTTCAGGATGCAGATCAAAAAAAAAAAAAAAAAAGGATGCAGATCATACGAATGAGGACAGAAGCAAGCGCGCTAAGCTTCCCACTAGAAAGCAGAGGTTTAGTTTGAGTCCGGAAATAAGAGGGGGTGGGGGAGGGGGTGGGGAAGAAACGGAAGGGAAAAAAAAAAGCGCAGAAATCGTGCAGCATTTCATGGGAAATTTCTCCAAGGTAAAAGGCTGAAGGTGACTGAAGGCAAACAGAAACTCATAGCAGCTCATTCCTGGATGTATCTGACAGTGATTACAATCCAGAGTAAGTGAAAAAGTCCCAGTGTGAAAACGCCCTGAGTTTGGCTGAAGTTGACCGAGGGCAAACACGAACACAAACAGAAAAAGCACATACTCATTCCTGGATGTATCTGATCGTGATTACATCCAAATTCCTGTCAAAAAGGTCCCAGCGTGAGTATGCCCTGAGTTCAGCTGAAGCTGCCTGGCGTGAGTATGCCCTGAGTTCAGCTGAAGCTGCCTGGCGTGAGTATGCCCTGAGTTCAGCTGAAGCTAACTGGCGGCAAGCGCACACCAACTCATTCCTGGATGTATCCAGTACTGATTACATCCAAATTCATTAAAAAGCTCTCAGTGTGTGTACTTCCTGAGTCTGGGAACAACATTCAAATTTGAAACAGATGAGCCACATGAATTTCACGCAAAAGGAAGACCAGATGCATCTGCTTGAACTTACCAACGATGGACATATGCTCGTGTATAGTGATCCCATCCCGAAGATAATCATATCGACACATTGGAGCTGCCCAGTTACACGAGGATTGACAACTGGAAACACCTTCCAAGTTTCAGAACAACAACAACAACAACAACAGCAACAACAACAACAACAACAACAACAATGACGACGACGGCGACGACGACAAACAACGACAACAAACAATAACAACAACAACAACCACAAACCAGCACCACCACCACAACGACAACAACCACAACAAAAACGACAAAAACAACAATAACGACAACCACGACGCCGGTGACGACGACGGCAACAACAACAACAACCACCACCACGACGCCGACAACAACAACAACAACAACAACAACAACAAAAACAACCACAAAACAGCACCACCACCGCAACAACCACCACAACAACCAAACAACCACCACCACCACATCAGCAGGAGAAGCTGCAACAACAACAAACAACATCAATCAATCAACCACCACCACATCAGCAACATGGAAGTGGCAATCCAAGGAGATAATAAGAGCCTGGGACTGCTGCTCCACTCCACCAGAACGGTCTCAATGAAGGTAATGAAGGTAATAAACGGCCAAAAAGAATTGCAGATCGAGTGGGGCTCAATGTACGACACTTGCAGATCTCTGAGGCGGGATATCTTTCAGTTTAAAATTTAAATACAGCTATAATGACCCTATGTCATCCCCTTGGTTCCATGCGAATTCGTTGTCCCACTCTTCCAACCCTTGGCTCCATGTCAGCCGCCATCTAAGTGGCAATGCCTTGGGGTTGTCCGTACGATGCATCTGAGTCGGAAACGAAAACACGGCGTATGCCAATCAAAAACAAAGTGTAACCTATGCACCTGTACCTCCTCCCCCCCTTCGCCCGGTGCATGCTGCAGAGTATCCCGCCTCAGAGATCCATCTGCAAGTGCCGTGCATCAAGCGTGATACAGGTACATGCGAAATGAATCGCCTGCGGAATGAACCTCGCCATAATTGCAGCCAAACACATTTTTTTTAGGAGAAGTACTAGTCTTACTACGCCCTCACACTAGGTCAATACTTTCATGGAAAAGAATAGCAGGAAACTAAATGTGCTATGACATCAACAGCAAACAAGGAAACCCAAGTTGCGGTGACATGGTGTGGCAATAGCACCCTCGCATTGACTAGCAATCAAGAAATGACCGGAAAAAAAAAAAGAAAAAAAAAAAAGGGACCCGGG